TGAACGTTGTAACGGTACCCTGAAGCAGATGCTTAAAACGTTCACAGGCATCCACAAGGTTATGGTAGGGAGAACTGAAGAAGGGTTGCACGCCGCAGCTCTGCCACATTTGCTGAGTTAAAGTGGCCGTAAACTGGGTGCTTTGGCAGGACAAAATTTCAGCCAATGTTTCCGCATTGATATTGGAAAGGGCTACAGCTTCTTGATATCGGGTGGTGTAGTCAACTACAGTTAAAATATATATTTTTCTGAGGGGCTCGACTTGCTCAGGGGCTCTATGAGATCTATAGCCACTCGGTGGGCAATTTGGCTTTGGAGCAGTCCCTTCTCGAGTGACCTCGTGCCAGAAGAATGCTCGTGTGTGCCAGTGAGAGGTCAATTCGTACCTAAATGCCCCGCTAGGGGAATATCGTGGCTAAGCTTCTAAGCTTTTTTCTCCTTTTCTTTTTTTATAAGTTTCTACTTGATGAAGCCTATTGTGGCGAAACGCGTATAGAAACTTTTTTATATAATCTAAGTGTTAATAAAGGAATATTTGGCTATTATTCATTTGTTTGCCACATTCCTCTTTCCACTATAGTATTATATTATTTTATTATTTACAAGTTTAGTTTATTTTATTCAGACCTAACTACAATCGCCTTTTTGTCCATATTGGAGTACCAAGAATCCTAAGGTCGGGATTATACCACCCATACGCCATCCACCGAGCAGTACGTCTGATCCATATACCATGAGTATATTTTATTCTGTTTCAACATTTTATCAGCTATACAGTGAGCACTATATATTTTATTCTTTTATCCCGAGCTGGACTACTCCACCAATTTATTCTACGAAAGAACAAAAGAGGAGCACCATATATCCTTGAGTGGGGATTATTCCACTTGGTGCCATTCATACCAGAGCTGGATTTAAGCTCTGAATATTGTGAGTAGTTCTACTCAGGGCTCGAGTCCTGCAGGAACGCACTTTTTCCAAAGCAAGAACGCCGTTCCCGTTAGCAGTCCTGCAGGACCTGCCCTGCTACCTGCACACAGGGGCCATCACACGCTGTGTTCCCTCTCCAGCTCTAACTCTCGCGAGACCCGCGGCTGTCAGAGCGTTGCCACGGGTTACCATGGCAACGCTCCGCACAGGCGAGTCTCGTGAGAGTTAGAGCTGGAGAGGGAACACAGCGTGTGATGGCCCCTGTGTGCAGCGGCTGGCTCCCTCCACCGGACCACCAGGCGATCTCCCCCTCCCTGACAAGGTAAGAAGCAGGGAGGGGGGAATAAAATAAAAAAAATATAGACACATAAAGTTAAAAAAAAATGCTTCCCCACCCTATCATCCAGCACACACACACACAACATCCAGCACACACACACAACATCCAGCACACACACACATCATCCAGCACACACACATTTCATCCAGCACACACACACACATCATCCAGCACACACACACACATATCATCCAGTGTACACACACACATCATCCAGTGTACACACACATCATCCAGTGCACATACATTATCCAGTGTACACACACACATAATCCAGCACACACAATCCAGCACACACACACACACCATCCAGTGCACACACACACACACATCATCCAGTGCACACACACACATCATCCAGCACACACACACACACACACACACATCATCCAGCGCACACAACACACACACACCATCCAGTGCACACACACATCATCCAGTGTACACACACACACACTCATCCAGCACACACACACACTCATCCAGCACACACACACACACACACCATCCAGCACACACACACACTCATCCAGCACACACACACACTCCATCCAGCACACACACACACACACACCACCAGCACACACACACATCATCCAGTGTACACACACACATCATCCAGTGTACACACATCATCCAGTGCACATACATTATCCAGTGCACACACATCATCCAGTGTACACACACACACAACAATCAGCACACACACACAATAACCGCACACACACCATCCAGTGCACACACACACCATCCAGTGCACACACACACATCATCCAGTGCACACACACATCATCCAGTGTACACACACACACATCATCCAGCACACACACACACACATCATCCACTGCGCACACACACCTCATCCAGCACACACACACACACACCATCCAGCGCGCACACACACACACCTCATCAAGCACACACACACATCATCCAGCGCACACACACACATTATCCAACACACAAACACACACACTCACACACATATCATCCAGCACACACACACACACACATCCAGCACACACACACACATCATCCAGCACTCACACACACATCATCCACTGCACACACACACACACACCTCATCCAGCACACACACACACATCATCCAGCACACACACATCATCCAGCACACACACACACATCTGTGTTGGATGTGTGTGTGTATTGGATTGTGTGTGTGTGTGTGCGTGCTGGATGATGTGTGTGTGCTGGATGGTGTGCTGGATGTGTGTGTGTGTGTGTTGGATTGTGTGTGTGTGTGCTGGATGATGTGTGTGTGCTGGATGGTGTGTGTGTGTTGGATAATGTCTATGTGTGTGCTGGATGAGGTGTGTGTGTGTGCAGTGGATGATGTGTGTGTGTGTGCTGGATGATGTGTGTGTGTGTGTGCTGGATGTGTGTGTGTGCTGGATGATATGTATGTGAGTGTGTGTGCTGGATGGTGTGTGTGTTGGATAATGTGTGTGTGTGTGCTGGATGAGGTGTGTGTGTGCGCTGGATGATGTGTGTGTGTGTGCACGCTGGATGGTGTGTGTGTGTGTATGTGCACTGGATGGTGTGTGTGTGCTGGATGATGTGTGTGATTGCGCTGGATGATGTGTGTGTGCTGGATGATGTGTAGCACACACATCATCCAGCACACACACACACACACACACACTGGATGATGTGTGCGAATGCAGGATGATAATGAATGCAGTGTGTGTGCTGAATGAAGTGTGTGTGTGCTGGATGATGTGTGTGCGTGCACTGGATGATGTGTGTGTGTGTGTGTGCTGGATGATGTGTGTGTGTGTACACTGGATGATGTGTGTGTGCTACACATCATCCAGCACACACACATCATCCAGCGCACGCACACACATCATCCAGCACACACACACTTCATCCAGCACACACACTGCATTCATTATACACAATCTGCACTCAATACAAACACACTACATTCACTATACACACTCTGCATTCACTATACACACTCTGCACTCACTACAAAAACACTACATTCACTTTACACACTGCACTCACTATACACACTCTGCACTATACACACTCTGCACTCACTACAAACACACTACATAAACTGCATTCATTGTACACACTCTGCACTCACTACAAATACACTGTATTCATTATACACACTGTGCACTCACTACAAACTACATTCATTATACACACTCTGCACTCACTACAATCACACTACATTCACTATACACACTCTGCACTCACTACAAACACTATCATCCAGCACACACACACACATCATCCAGTGTACACACACACATCATCCAGTGCACATACATTATCCAGTGTACACACACATCATCCAGTGCACACACACACATCATCCAGTGCACACACATCATCAAGTGCACACACACATCATCCAGTGTACACACACACACACACACACACACACAATCCAGCACACACACACACACACAATCCAGCACACTACTAATAATACCAATCATCCAGTGCACAAACACACACATCATCCAGCACACACACACACACACACACACCATCCACACACACACATCATCCAGTACACACACACACACACATCATCCAGCACACACACACACACACATCATCCACTGTGCACACACACACACAAACCCCATCCAGCACAAACACACACACACACACACACCATCCAGCCACAAGACACACACACATCATCCAGCCACACACACACACATTATCCAACACACACACACACACACACACACCATCCAGCACACACACACTCGCACACATATCATGCAGCACACACACACACACATCCAGCACACACACACATACACATCATCCAGCATGCACACACACATCATCCACTGCACACACACACACACCTCATCCAGCACACACACACACACATCATCCAACACACACACACCATCCAGCACACACACATCATCCAGCACACACACACACACACAATCCAACACACACACACACACATCCGTGTTGGATGTGTGTGTGTTGGATTGTGTGTGTGTGTGTGTGTGTGCTGGATGATGTGTGTGTGCTGTATGGTGTGCTGGATGATGTGTGTGTGCTGGATGGTGTGCTGGATGTGTGTGTGTTTGCTGGATGATGTGTTTGTGCTGGATGGTGTGTGTGTGTGTTGGATAATGTCTGTGTGTGCGCTGGATGATGTGTGTGTGTATGTGTGTGTGCTGGATGAGCTGTGTGTGTGCAGTGGATGATGTGTGTGTGTGCTGGATGATGTGTGTGTGTGTGTGTGTGTGTGTGTGCTGGATGTGTGTGTGTGTGCTGGATGATATGTATGTGAGTGTGTGTGTGCTGGATGGTGTGTGTGTTGGATAATGTGTGTGTGTGCGCTGGATGGTGTGTGTGTGTGTGTGCTGGATGAGGTGTGTGTGTGTGCGCTTGGATGATGTGTGTGTGTGTGTGCGCTGGATGATGTGTGTGTGTGTGTGCGCTGCTGGATGGTGTGTGTGTGCGCTGATGGTGTGTGTGTGTGCTGCTGGATGAGGTGTGCGTGTGTGTGTAGCAGTGTGTGTGTGTGTGTGTGTGTGCATTGGATGATGTGTGCGTGTGCGTGTGTACTGGATGATGTGTGTGTGTGTGTGTGTGTGTGTTGGATGATGTGTGTGTGTGTGTGTAATACTGATGATGTGGGGTGTGAATGTAGGGATATAATGAATGCAGTGTTTGTGCTGGATGGTGTGTGTGTGTGTTGGATCTTGTGTGTGCGTGCGCTGGATGATGTGTGTGTGTATGTGTGTGTGTGCTGGATGATGTGTGTGCTACACATCATCCAGCACACACACACACACACATCATCCAGCGCACGCACACACATCATCCAGCACACACACACTTTATCCAGCACACACACTGCATTCATTATACACAATCTGCACTCACTACAAACACACTACATTCACTATACACACTCTGCATTCACTATGCATTCACTATACACACTCTGCACTCACTACAAAAACACTACATTCACTTTACACACTGCACTCACTATACACACTCTGCATTCATTATACACACTCTGCATTCAATATACACACTCTGCACTCACTACACACTACATACACTGCATTCATTGTACACACTCTGCACTCACTACAAATACACTGTATTAATTATGCACACTGTGCACTCACTACAAACTACATTCATTATACACACTCTGCACTCACTACAAACACACTACATTCATTATACACACTCTGCACTCACTACAAACACATTACATTCATTATACACACTCTGCACTCACTACAAACACATTACATTCACTATACACACTCTGCACCCACTACAATCACACTACATTCACTATACACACTGTGCACTTACTACAAACACACTACATTCATTATACACACTCTGCACTCACTACAAACACTACATTCACTATACACACTGTGCACTCAAAACAAACACACTACATTCATTATACACACTCTGCACTCACTACAAACACACTACATTCATTATATACACTCTGCACTCACTACAAACACACTACATTCATTATACACACTCTGCACTTACTACAAACACACTGCACTCACTACAAACACACTACATTCATTATACACACTCTGCACCCACTACAAACACACTACATTCATTATACACACTCTGCACTCACTACAAACACACTACATTCATTATACACACCCTGCACTGCACTATATGCATAGGAGTGTAATTTTTTTCTGTTTTTTTTTAGGGGGGGGGGAGGCGGGAATCTTGGGTGAGTTCCCACACTTTGTTCCCCTGGACTTGTCCCCTGGTTCTACTATTATATACACAATATTATTTACCGTTCATACTATACCATTGGAGTTTCCTCTGTCTTATGTTTTTTCCACATATCCATTTCGAAGTTGCAGATATACATCTGGGATTTTACATACCATTTTATGTACCACTAGGATGACCACCTGCATATTTGGACTATTTATATTCGGACTATTAGGTACCGCTGCTTGTACTCTTTACCATTTTCAATATTATTATTCCACTTGTTTTAGGCGCACCCTTATTCCTTCTTCTCTCTTCAATAGCTTCACCCGGTATTTCCATGGCACGACCAGCTGTCTCTGGGGAACTTGTCTCTGCTGTCTCTGCTGTCACCCAGTATAACAGGTCTCCTACCCATTCAAACCATTTCTTCTTTACCCCTTTGGCCAATCTTGCCACTGTGCATTGGAGGAGCCTGGTTGCCCCATGTTGAAACGCTTGATTTTCCCCTGCGGAGACACGAAAACCGGGTCATTCGGTGCTGTCCCTGTTTGAGCGGTGATACCCCAGATAGCTATGCCATGGAGCCCATTCGTATAATGAAAGACTATGGGAAAGACTTTGGCTCCATGGCAATTGAACTGTATGTGTGTGCTCTGAGCGCCATTCAGTAATAATGTGCGCTCAGATCTGAGCTATCTGGGGATATGTTGAATGTACCTGTTTTGTGCAATGGCTGCACAGTTATATGTTTTTATGTGTTTTATTGTCTTTTGCTGCCATGTGTTCAGTGGAGTTTTGCCTCTGTCCTTGGAGATAATTGGATTACTTCCCAATTATCTCTAGGATAGAAGACTACGTGGAACTGGTTTTAGGCAGAAAACCAACCTTCCTTTGATGTATCTTTTGAACCACTGGACCAATTTGGATGATTTTGACATATGTTTGTATTTGGAGTATGCTGATTATGAAAATGTGAATGTGATGAATACTTTTCAAGTTATGAATAATGTGGAAAAATTGTATTTCTCTGCTTGTGATAATTACAATACCCATTGTGTAAGGTAATTGTATCACAGGCAGAGGGGAGGATTTTGTGTGGGAGTGTCATAGTGTATTGTATGTGTTTATTGGTGTTCCAAAACCCTGTGGTTGGTACTAAAGTGTATACAAGAACAATAAACCCACAGCTCTGTCTGTTCACTGCTTGACCCTCAACACTGAGCTTTGTCTCGTTCTTGGGGGGATTTATTGTATGCTGTTTCAATTTGACTGCTAGGAGTGTAAACCTATTCGTATGGTTTTTACTATTCGGCCGTTTACAGCATTCATATGGTTTCCTGTTCGGCGGATTGGTGTTCTGCAGTAGCTGTGCCTGTGTTTCTGGAAGGGAAGATCTACTAAACGGCGGTTTAACAATTTTATGCCTGTGGGTGCCGTTACATGGGTTCATTCTTATTCCGTCCCTGGATTTCCCAGTCTCTTGGTTTCATTTAAATGTTTGTTTTATGTTGCCACACCCATTTGTTTTCCATCATTCCTTTTGTTTCAGCCTGGACCTGCAGCAGTGTTTCTTGCAGGTAAGTGCTATTGTGGTTTAGTATGGTTCTTTTAACGAACATTAGGCAGTGTAGGACCTGCCAAATATGGGGTACATTGGCGTTGGGGCAGGCTTATGATCATATAATGTAACTAAATCCATACTTTTCATATATAGTGCTTAGTTATGTCTCCTCTTGTTTTGCCTATTATATCTTGTCTTGTTTTAGTTTGTATACCCAGTCCATGTACAGTCCTGTCCAGTCACACCCATGTTATGTTCATGTTTCCCTCATGTCTAGTGTACATGTTCTGGGTTTAGCTTCCTATTCTTCTCTGGTTCTGGGTTGTATTAGTTCTGTCTTGTTTTCATGTTTGGTGCCTATTTCTAGTCTTTCCTTGTTTCTGTACTGGATACCTTCTTGTTGCAGAGCCTCCCTATTCAGCTCCTAGGAGGTCTGCTTAATTCCTGCTCCTAGTTCCTGGGATCCGCATAAGCTGCATCAGGGTTCTGGTATGTGGCCGCAGAAACGCTGGTGCTCAACACCAGGGAGCATGTGGTTATCCTGCACTAGGCCCTGACAATCCACTTCCACGCTGAAGAATCAGGCATACTGGGTCCCGGTCCTTGCAACTTCTAATCAGGCATACTGGGTCCCGGTCCTTGCACCGCCACCTGGACAGCGTCTGGGTCCTGGTCTTTGGACTGCCACCCTGACAGATGGCCGTAAGCATACATGGAGTTCGTGGAGTGGACTTTTGCAGCTTTTCTGACCTGCTCTGATTCTGTTCTGCCTGGGAATCGTGCTTTCAAGTGATCCTATATCTGGACCTGTCTGCTGTAGATGACTTCATCATTTTCTGTTCTGTTTTTCTGATCCTGCTCTGGAGGAGGTTTGCCTGCTAAGCGGCTTGTTCTCTGCAGTTGAGATCTTGAGATGCTGTGTTCCGGATTCTGTTTCCTGGCAATGCTCCTGTTTTTGAGTGGACCTTCTTTTTCATCTGGTGGTTTCTTTGCTGGAGACCTCTCTGAATTAAGCGGAGTGGTTCTGGAGGCATTACGAGCCGTGAACTCCACTCCTGGTTATCAAGGCTAAAGAAGGGGATTCCTTGCTATTGTAAGTCATGAAGTCTTAGCCGCTGGATCCTCGCTCCTGTCCTGGTCTCTGTTGGAGAGTTGCTTGTCGTGCCCGGAGGTCGCTCCTTAAGAGGGGAGTTATGTCAGGATCTGCTCTGTTCTGATGTCTTACTTGGCTTCTGGTATCCAGTACTCTTTTTACAATCCTTGCTTAGGTTTTTCTGGTTTTCTATTCCATGTCTGGTTTTCTTTATGCTGGGTTTCTGGGTTCATTCTTATATTCCGTCCCTGGATTTCCCAGTCTCTTGGTTTCATTTAAATGTTTGTTTTATGTTGCCACACCCGTTTGTTTTCCATCATTCCTTTGGTTTCAGCCTGGACCGGCAGCAGTGTTTCATGTGTTTGCCCTTTCTTGCAGGTAAGTGCTATTGTGGTTTAGTATGGTTCTTTTAGCGAACATTATGCAGTGTAGGACCTGCCGATTATGTGGTACATTGGCGTTGTGGCAGGCATATGCAATGTATGATCTTATAATGTAACTAAATCCCCACACTTTTCATATATAGTGCTTAGTTATGTCTCCTCTTGTTTTGCCTATTATATCTTGTCTTTATTTTGTAATCCCAGTCCATGTACAGTCCTGTCCTGCCCTGTTTAGTTAATGTTCCCTTATGTATTGTGTACATATTCTGGGTTTAGCTTCCTATCCTTCTCTGGTTCTGGGTTCTACTAGTTCTGTCTTGTTTTCATGTTTGGTGACTATCCTAGCCTTGCCTTGTTTCTGTACTGGATACATTCTTGCTGCAGAGCCTCCCTATTCAGCTCCTGTGAGGTCTGCTTACTTCCTAGCTTCAAGTTCCTGGGATTCGCAGTAGCTGCATCAGGGTTCTGGTATGGGGCGCACAAACACTGGTGCTCAACACCAGAGGGGGTGTGGTTGCCCTGCACCAGGCCATGATTATCCACTTCCACGCTGGAGACTCCCAACTCATCATCAGGCACTCAAGTGTCCCGGTTTCCGTACCACCATCCCTGACAGTAAATCAGTGCTCAGAGCACTTGGTTACCCAAACATCACCCGAGACTTGAGACAACAACACTTTATTATGCCACACTCTTTTATGCATAGCCAACAAACAGGGGTTGTATCCCAGGATCCTCTATACCTGGGAGCCAAAGCACAGGAAAGGGTATAGAGGTGTCTCCAAAGTATAGAAAGCCCGCCATCCAGGGGAGGGGTCTCCCACACAAGACGACAGGGGGTCTTCATCCCAGGGGAGCCAAGGTGCGAGAAAAGAGATTGTCTCTTTGTCTTCCAGGCACAGAAAAGCCCGCAAAAACTAGCCAGTGCCCCTACCAACTTTGGGAACGATTACAACGGTACACTCCGCGACCAGTCTCCGTTTGTGAGGATCCTGTGCGGAAACCACGCAAGGGAAGCATCTCTTTCACTATACGAATGGCGGCCCCCC